GGAATCTTTCCACACGCACTACGTCACAGGCCAACCCCAAGACAACTCCAACACAACCCACAGCTACTCGTCCGCATCACACAGCACCACCCACACCACCATCTACCACATCCTCTACCAGCACTGAGGACCCTATCATCCTCACCACCAATGTTCCCATCCTGCCGACAGCACGTCCGGGGCACCCACCAATCAATACCACTTGGGTGGGCCCCCCACAATCATACCACCCTCCACATTCAGCAACACCCACACGCATCCCCCTACAGGTCACCATTCCACGCCCCCACCGGAATGGCCAACTTTTACCCTTCAACTTTTCCACTGACATCAAACACTACCTCAATCCCACGGCACACTCCACCCGACGACCAGCCACACCATGCCCCGCACCGCCCACTCACTTCCAACCAACCACTACCACAAATACCACTACAGTGTTCCCACCGGTGCCCCCCATTCCAGACGCACCGCTAACAGAGCAACAAGCTGCTACGCTCCAGCAGACCATCCTACGGATTGCTCGTCAGGCCGCAGCTGCAGCCGCGGCCGAGCTCAATTCACGCTGAAGCATCTCGTAGTTTCACCCCACACCATTCTCACACATCGTGTGACGAACCAAAAGAACACAGCTTTTTCCGTCTTGTTCTTTCCACGTTTCAACATTTTTCTTACTACATCCTACTTGACCGTCTTCAATGCACAATACACATTGACCAGGACTTTGTATCGCCATGCAATTTCCTTCTTGACCGCAGCCGTTTTTCAACTCGTGATCTTTACCACATTCAGCGCACAGCCTCCACTCTTGCCTTTCAATGAGAGTGCCGCCGATTACGATGAGCAGTCTGAGGTTCTTTTTCTCTTCAATGAAGACCCGGAAGAGCCACCTTCACAGACGCACGATCCACCTCATCCGCTGCCGCCTCAACCAACTCCAGGTCCCACAACCTCGCAACCCACACCATCAGCCACCACTAACATCTCGGCAGACCAATCGTTTTGGGCCGAAGTATACACCCTCCAACCACCACATGCCCTGATGGGCATCCTCACGGACCTCCACGTCCACCGATTCGTTCTCCACCAACACCTGGACAGTCTCAACGCCCTTACTGACACCCCTATCGGACATCAACCTCTCACTGACACACTTCCACCTCCTGTCCAGCGTCTCATCGCCATTTACCACAACAACGTACAACGAATCCAGAGCCACACACGCCTGGCTCTCAATGCCATTGACACCATGGCCCGCTTTCCACCAGCGGCATACTTCCTGGATCCCAACCTCGGCGCACAGGCCTCTCCACAGACACACACACAGACCGATCCTCCACCCAGTTCCACCTCTCTCCGCTTTTATCCAATCCCCACCGCCGCGGCCAGGCATACAACTCTGCAAGATGCTGCCACCCAAACTTTCCCATGTTCAGACTCCATCCTGGCCAACCCACTTCCACCGCTCCTCATGCACGAATCCCAACAGACCACCCCTCGAGCAACCACCCATCACCGCCACATGCAGACAGACATCCATGCCATTGTCCAGCTCCCTTCTTTTGCCGGCATCATGCCCACATCAGACACCAACCAACCGGCCACCTCCCTTCCCACCGCCAGCAGCACTTTCCCCACCGCATCACCCAATCCCACATCAGCCACCAACAAACAACCACACGATCGATGGCAATACGTCAACCTCATTCCCACTCCCACCGTCACCTTGCCGGAACAGCCACACACTCCTCCGACATTTCCCTCCCCCATCGGCGGCGCACCGCGCAACAGACGTTCCTAGACACCTCCTCGCACCACTACCCCCACCCGCACCCGGCAGCCGGACCCACGCACCGGTTCCCCAACCCCCCAACGTACAACCCCAGCCACCACTCGACAGCCATCACAAGCTACAGTCCATCCTCTTCCAAAACGACCCCCACCATCACTTTTTCAAGCCCAACAACCTCCTGCTACCACTGAACCCCTCCAGCCTGTGCCCCCGGCAACCGGCTGGCCGTGCTTCCAAGGCGGATCCTATACGCCCACCCCATCAGTGGCACCGCCAGCAACCGCAGCCCCACCCACTCACCCGTGGCCAGCGCATTACCAAGTCCCAACACAACAACCCTCCTTCATCCCACCACAGGCCAGCTCCACAGCCTTGGCTCCACCCTCCCCCGTGGTCATGCTCCACCCCTCTACGACAAGGGTGGACAGGCAGGGGCGCCCCCTGCCATTGTCTCAACAAGACTATGACCCTGACACGGACCCTTGGCATGCGGACAACCATTGACCATGCGGCGGCAGATTCTGAGGTACCTACAGTGCTTTATCCGTGGATGGTTCACATACCAGCAACTCCATCCCACACGTTTTCGTGTTCGTTGGTTTTGTTTCAGCAAGTTGCCTTACGTCAACCATCATCTTCGGAAACTAGCTCCCCTCAGTCCACAGACCGACACACGCTGTTTCACTCTGCACAACGAAAAACAGTGTGTTCTCAGTGGCGTGTTACTTAACAACCTTTTGACTTGGCACACCACCATGATTTATCCCTGGCCTCCAGCAGCATTCGGGTTTTCTCAGCGTCTTTTTCTTTTGCTTCTGCTTTTCCTTTCTCTCAATTTTAGACAGGCTAAGTTTTTGACAGTTCCATGTTTGGCTGACGCTGCCTTCTGATTCATTTTACACTGACTGACCTTGTCTCGCATGTTCAGCTTGCTCAAACCAACAACCGGTGCTCCTCGCCCCACGATCCAGTGACACTTCGACCAGCCACCATGGACGCGCAGTGGCAGCAATATTACTGGAATCATTATTTGACGCAGCAGCAACATCATCAGCAGCTTACCAACCCTGACACCACAACCTCGCCTCCCACCACAACTCACCATGCCTACAACCCCACTGGCACCTATGGCCCACTCACCCACGCACTCCGTACGCATCAAGTCCACCACTCCAATCCTTACGTGACTCCACCATACACACCGCCATCGCAGCATACACCGCCACCACAGGCACCAACATCACAGCCGGAGTTCCCACCTCCACCCCCACCACCTCTCCCCACGGCCGAACCTGTTACTCCACCACCATCGACCTTCAAGCACAGCCCACCGCCACCACCAGCCGCCCGTGCCGGCACAGCACCTGCCCCACCGCCACCACACATCCCATCCCCCACTCCACCAGTTCAGGACTAGGACTCCAACACCCTGCACGGCCACCAACTACATCGTACAATCCAACCCACCCAGTGGTCTCGAAAAGCAGGAGTGGCAGGGCTCCCGACCTTTGAAGTCTTCCCGTGGCAACTGGCGTACCACGGCACCTCCGAATTTACTGCCCGTACGCTCAGCAACGGCAAATACACGGGATTCATTGCCACCAGAAGCATTGCGGAGTCGGTTTTCGTGACCCACCTTCTCCAAGAGCTCCGCGAGAAACGCCTTGACCTTGACGGCATCGCAGAGACCCTCCACACAAAACAAGGCACGGACATTCCCAGCAAAACCACACACGCCCGAGCGTTCCACGCTCCCCTTATCAAACTACTTATCGAACAACTACAAACTCACTCTCCGGCACCTGCGGAAGGCACCGCTCTGCGCGCCCTCAAGACCACCACCGACGAACTGGCCCGCGCACGCCAAAAGCTCCACGACTTGGGCAACCCACTCAGCCGCTCTTCCGCACCGGCCGCCCCATCCCATGCGCCCACTCCACCACCACCAAAACCGCCAGCCCTTTCCGATGTCTCGCAACCCCCACACCCAACATTGCAAGATGATATCCCCGAGGGTTGGAATCACCCCGAGATCCAACACTGGGTCACCACCTTCGACCCCACCATCCAGGAAGCCGCCAATGAGGTCGTGCGCTTGCTGCAAACGAGTAAAGTCACTACGCAGCAGCTCAAGGACGCAGCCACACGTTATGGCCTGCCACTCAACCGAGTCAACCGGTTGCCAATTCGGAGCTTGCAACAGCTCGTGAGTGTGGGAGCAGCCATTGGCTGCTGACTCGCTACCCTTGCCCAGCAGCAACCCAGCCACACCAACCTCACCCATCTATTCCACTTGCACCGAGCACTCTCAGTGCTCATCCACCACACCCAATACATCGACCGTGCCGAGGCCATCTTTGCCACTGGCCTTATACACATCACACTCCTTTTCGCATACCCTTCCAACACCCGTCGCTCACAACACCTAGACATGCAGACGTACATCTGTTAGATGTACATGGCCTCGTGCGAACACCTAATTTTTTTTAGATGTACATTTGAAGTTGTTTGCAAAATTTCACGCAATTTCACGCTCTTTTTTGCCATTTGCCATGGCATGGCATAACTTGAGCCTTATATATTGAACCTTATAACACAAAAAACACTGAAAAAAGGAAGCACACTTACACACCTAGAAACACACAACACACACACACACGCTGCGACCAACCCTCGACCTAGACGACCCGTGGTAGCGGAGCGCTCAACCCCCTTTTTCCCTTTCACCTGAGTTTCGGCTCAGCATCTTTCAGCCGTGCCACGAGGCCAAGCTTGTACCTTTCAAGGCACCTTTGTGTGGCCACCCGCTTATGCACAGCCTTCTTGACGTGCATCACTCTCTTTATATTGTCTTCATCCATCCAGCATGCAAGGTGCGCTGGGTTCAGTCTGCTAGGCCTGCAATCCTCTGCAATGTGATTGAGGATGTGCAACTTTGGCCTGCAGCGAAAGAGCTTCAAGTTGCGGTCCAAGGCATTCCTTGCCATGCGAACGTAGAGCTGCATCATCAATTTCCCAACAACCACGCGTCGCCGGTCCTCCTCCACTGTCAGGAACATATCTCCACTGCAAAGTAGCGCCACCCACGAATTTGCCAGCCACACAAACTGCAGGGGTTGCATATTGAAGAAAATAGGAAAATTGGTTTCCACGTGTTTCCACCAAGCACAGGTGAAAAAAAAGTAAAAGCTTTATTAATTACCAATGATCACATCCAGGCCACTGTGGAAACGTCAGAGTCTCTGCATGGCCGGCGCTGCAGCTCATCGTTCAGCCATTCCAAGACACACCTGGTGTCAGAGCCCTTGCAGCGAAGCTCAGGATACCTGAGCTTGCTCATCGAGATATTTTTGTTGCTTTCTTAAATTCACCAAGTTAATGCAGCACACAACAAAAACAAAAAAGTAGGAGCACGCGTTAATCATATTCCAAAATGCTCAGAACCCCAGTTGAGGTTCTGTTGAGTCAGGCCTTTGATGGCCAACGGAAGTTTCTTCTGTTTGCACCACCCTTTCAAACAAGCGCTGGCATAGGACAAGCGTTTGTCAATGTTCGAGCCAGGCCAGTAATGCTCTTTGATAAGGATGCGCAAAATCGATCCCAGCGCATCTCTGCCCACTCCCAAATGCCAAATGTGGAGGAGATCTGCTCCTATCATTTTTTCGTTGAACCCTGCCTTATATCATGATCACTGCAGGCTCAGGAAAAGCCTAACTATATATAGTATAACCATATAAACATACTGAACACCAAAAAACTCTCTCAAGGGGATTGGATAGACCAGTTGCTAGGTCCGCAAAGGATGGGCGAACCGTCCATGCAGGCGACAAAGCATTCCGCCAGGGCGCATCCGGGCTCAAGTTCACGTAGCACATATTTGCATCTGCTGTGCCCTTTGTAGCGCCACATTTCCAGCAGATCTGACAGGGTTTGTCAACAGCATTGCACAGAAACAATCAACCAGCTAGCTTCAACCACTACATATATATATATATACACCACTACTAGTTGCACAATTCACAGGTATATATATATATATATTTGTATACTCACCAACCAGCCAGCGTGTTTCGATCCCGCGGATTTCAAGGCCGGTTTGGGCACCTCCTCTTGCTGCGCAGTTTTGCTCATGTTGAACAACTGGGCCAGATACTTCCAATCTCCTTTGAAGTTGACCACAAAGCCACGGAGAGTACACACCTAGGGAGTCTTTTCCAAATTAACGCCATTTATATATATATATATGTACATATATTTTTGCACACTCTGTGTGCATTGGTAGGGGTCTTTTCAAAACACCCTATTGGTCCAACAGCGATTTTTGTAAGCACCGGCCTCTTCCCCAGTGGACCGATCTCTGATCACCACCCCAGCTTGCGACAGTCTGTTGAGAGACTCTGTGATGGAGCGGGCTGCACCCTGCAAGGTCAAATTGATTCCCTGCTCATTGTAGATATACCTTGGCTGAGACACAAGACAGCTAAGTCCAACAAGGTGCTTGACACCAGAAAGGGACTAGTGACTAGCCCAGCTAGGTTTTAGTTTAAACATAAGTCAAACAAGTTCAAGCTTGAAACCAAAAAGGGCAGGTTTTAGTTTTAGGTCCATGATGCAGGGTCGAAGGGATGGTGGTGATCAAAAAGCGCGACACTCCAGCATTGGTCAACCAGGGGCTTAGGTCACATTGAAAGTGGAATGTCATCCATGATGCGTTGAGGGCTGAACCTTCATCTCCTTAAAGGGATTGACACTGTTAAAAAAAGCAAACCTGTTGGGTTGGTGTGGGTGTGCACATGTACACACCTAGAACCACAAATCACATTTCTGTTGTTCACCCAGCATCCATAGAGTGAAATAGGAAAGCTCAAATGGGGATTCTGGCGTGCAGGATGCTCCGGGAAGTCTCGCAGAAGTTGATCCCAATATCCAGCCAGCCCTTCCAGTTTGCAAATAAAATGGAGGAAACCTTCATCCAGCAAGGCTTGCACCTAGAAGGTGGGTTGAACAGGGTTGGTCATAGACCTTTACTGTAGAAAGTTATGTTGTTAAAACATGTTAAAACATACACTTGAATCTTTCCAAACAAGGGCGCCAAAAGATGTGGTTGCAACAGAGGCCAGTTTTGAATCTCCAATATTGGTGTACCATCGTCCTGATGGCCCCCACATACTGGAATGTCCATGAAAGTGACATCAGCGCCCAACGTCAGGCCATGTTTCAATGCCGCTGCGTGCATCCGACCTTCCTCATGATTCCTTGGATTGCTCGGGATCTCAGGGCGACATCACTCAACTATGTTCGATCCACTTCATGAAACAGCCTTTAATGATTTTTCCAATTAGCCAAGTATCTTGAAGATGTCGGAATGAAAGAGTGCACCAATCTCAGCAGCATGCTTCACTGTAGATCCACCAGTGGAAATACCAGATGCCAGCCTTGGATTGTCCATTTTTGTTCTATAGGAGGACGACTTTATAAGGCTCACAAAAGTCGAATCATCAAAACTCAACACAAGATATTCAATTGCGAGCGCATTGCAATTAGTTTCATCGTCTAAATCCTGACCCGAGGAACAAATGCTCCAGCCGTACACGGCGTTCTTCTTCCAGGCGCTCTCGCGCACCACCTGCGTTGGGCAGGGGAGTTGGATAGGTGAAGATCGACCCACTATTGGAGGCCATCACTCGATTGCCTCATCATAAACAGACACCTGTGTCGACATATGATCATATATATATATATAGAGAACATATATGCTAAGCCCCATTCTATAAATACATATAATCATCTATATATATATGTCTATTTGATGCCAGGTCTTCAAATCAACATGTCACGAGCCTTAAGCGACATGTCACACTGCACAGACCCCATCCTTTTTCCACAGGCTCTGTTTGGATCGATGTTGATGGTCTCACCAACGCATTCGCCAAAATCTTGGCACCCCGGAACCTCAATCCCCATCCAGCCACGCATGTTTTCAATTAATTTTGGATACATTAAGTTGATGGAATATATCCCGCTGCACCATTAAGGAATATATATATATATGACTGCATCGGTTTGCGCGGCAAGCTAAGGGGAAAGGTTCACCCACAGCCAAGCCCCAGCCCTACTATTTTGCTCGCTTTTTCATCTCAGAAATAATAGCCTTGGCCTGGGCCTTCACCAACTTTGCAGAATTCACCTCACATGCCCCCAGCACGTAAGTTCAGCTCTTTAAAGAATAGAAAGTGTCACACATATGCACACACAGTTAACAATTGACAAGCCACGGTCTCCGTAAGTTCATCCTTGAAATCGATCAAGTTTGCCAGCGAATGGAGGCTATTCAGCCTCATGTCACAGCCCAATATGTCAATGTACATTTGATATATCAAATGAAAAAACTATATGCTGTAGTGAAACTCTTCCAAAGACTCTTCAAACCTGATTTTGTACTGCTCCAAGTTCTTGCGAAGCGGGTTGTCTCGCGGGAGGTCCATGAAGGACGATAGGGTTGAGGCAACTTCTTTTTTGAGGCTTGATCCTCAGATGTGCATTTAGGTTTCTATGCACCACACCCACTCATAGTAAAAAACATGTCAGACCATGTACAGTATAGGCCACATCAAAAATAATCTATGCTGAGTCACGAAGTTCTGCCTTGAGCACATTAGCATCCTTCGGTTTCTCCTGCGTCGTAGGGCCACCACCACCAGCTGATGCCTTGGGTTTGGCTTTGGGCTTGGTCTTGGGCTGCCCTTTAGCTCGAGGCTGCATGGTGTTGTCCCCACCAGATCCAGATGCAGGGAATCCTTCACCTTGAATCAGAAACACAGGAGAAAACACGCGCGCACAATAGTCCTTATATATATATATATACTTGAACTCAACAACAAAAAACACATTCCAACAAAAAGTAGTACACATTGAAAAGCCAGGTCACCAATGGACTTTGCAAGCTCTTGCAACTGCTCATCAGTGAACCCAGGAGCACTCTGCGACAGGCCGCCCATCTCGAGAGTCGGAGCAGCAGTCACAGCTTCCATGGTGTTTTGGTCGACCTGACTCTGTATGCGCACCTGGGATTCCTGTCGAACCTCGGAGGTGTCGATTTGTTGTGTTGAGACCCTGCACCAGTAGGACACCAGACTCGGATCATCTGGGGCGTGCTCATCCTTCACTCCACCGCCGGCTCGAATAGCTCCAAGAATCTTATTCTTTGGCCACTTCCTCCTCATCATCTCCTGGACGCTGACAAGCTCCTTCATCCCCTTCATTGTTGTGCTCTGCGTTTTCGTGAGCACACAAGTGGCCTCGCAGGCTGCCCGGTTCTCCTTCTTCTCCACCCAAATGCGCAGAAGCTTTTGTCGATCCTAGCCAAGGAGCAGAAACAAAACAATATGGACCAGAAAACAGTTTATAGAGCGAAACACAACATACAAAAACAACAATTTAAACAAATGTTTACCAAGTATCAGCTGGAGTCCCCCGCCAAAGCTCAAGCATGTGTGGAAACTTCTGCCCCTCTTGGCTATCCATGAATCTGCCCATCCTGGCCCCTTCATTTTTGTGCGTGACAAAGTTAACCACCTGGAGCTCAGCTTCCTCAGGCTGGTCAGCACTTTGATTAATGCCAGGAGCCGTGCTGTTGTTGACGGCGGCCAGGATATCGCTGTCCAAATCAATCGGGACACCATCCAGATCGAACTCATCACCAGTTGTAGCTTCATGTTGCGCAGAGCTTGAAGGAGCTGCAGCAACAACCAACCTCGATTCCAAAAGAGACAGCTGATGGCGCAACCTTTCAATCTCCATGTCCTGAGGCGACGGTGCAGGAGGGCTCACAATCGGGTTGGGTGCCACCACAGGCATACTCTCAGCGGTCAGCTTCTGAAGCGACGGTGCAGGAAGGCTCTCAATCTGTTCGGCCAACGGTGCAGGAGGGCTAGCAATCTGTTCGGGCACCACCACAGTTGCAGGCGACGGGGCAGGGCTGACAATCTGTTCAGGCACCACCACAGGCGTAGTCTCAGCCGGCACTGCTGCAGGCACAGGATTTGGCGCAACAGACTTTGTTCCACCCCCGGACCCTTCCACAGGCATTGCAGAACTTGTCTCACACTCACCCACTGAAGCTGGCTCAGCAGGCACCTCACAATCCGCAGCTGTAGGTGCTGGAGTATCAACCTTTGTCTCCAAACTCTCTGCAGCTTCAGCCATTGGTGTCACATCAGCTGGCTTTTCAGGCACTGCAGGCACCATACCATCTTCAGGCGCCATGCCCCCTGCCACCTCCAAACTCTCCACAGCTGCTTCTGCCACCTCCAAACTCTCCACAGCTGCTTCAGCTCCAGCCATTGGTGTCGCATCTGAAGCTGGCTTTGCAGGGACTGCAGGCACCACTGAAGCTGGCTCCACAGGCACTGAAGGCACCACGCCTGAAGCTGGCTGCACCTCACCTTCTGCAGGTGAAGCCTTTGGAGCTGCAACCATTGTTTCGCCCGGTGCAGCTGCAGCAGACCCTTTCTCAAGAATCTCAGGAGCTCCAGACTTGTCCTCCAACGGTGTCTCTCGAATTTCAGTCATCTGTGACTGGCTAAGGCCAAGCTGATTGTCAGGATCTTCTTGGAAAAGTGGTTGGTCCCAATCAACAGGATGTGCTCGCTTCATGCC